CCCCAAAACCCCAAAACCCCAAAACCCCTAGTATACAGAATAAGGCTGAAACCTTTAGAATTATTTGCTGAGAAGTTCTCTCAGGTTGGCCATAGCTTCAGAGGGGAAGGTTTTTTCCATAGTATATTCGTCCTGGATCCATTTCTCGAAGATATCAGCAATTCTAGATCTAGCTTCAGTCAATTCTGGAGCGTCAGTTGGGAAATCTCCGTGGAGATCAACACAGTGAGCACAATCATCACAGTCAATAACAATTGGAATCAAATGAGGATTGTCAGTCTCGGTGACACTAGCATGCTGCCATGGGTCTTCTCCACCATTAGTGAAGATAATCTTGGTAGCAGCAGGAGTCTTGGCTCCATATCTTGAATTCCAATGGTCGGCATCAGGGAAAATATTAATTCCAAAGGTTCTTTCACAGAAATCTTCCCAGAAATCAAGCTCAATATTAGCTGGTCTCATTGGAGGAACTCCTTCCTATATTATGTGTTATGGCATGAAAAGAGATGAATGATAGAGCCAACATATCAAAAAAATGATATCACTAGGATAAGCATAGATTAATTACTTGTTCCCTAGCTACTACCGTAAATATTTAATTGGTTTGAGGATAACTTTAAGATATTGCTATCGACTCGAATAGATTAGAACAGGGAAAGAAATTATCCAGATTCAAAGATTGCCATAAAGTGCTGCCAAAACTTATATCATCTTCCTTCTCACTCATTATGAAGTTAAGAAGCAATTTACACATTTGAGTTTGAGTAAGCATTGAGAATAGAATGGAGGAATTTTTGAAGCTAAAGTTTTCTCAAAGTTTGAGAAAATACCATTATCATGATGTAAGGAAATGAGGATTTGAGCAATTTTATTATTTAGGCAAGGCAAGGAAACTTGAGAAACTAATGAGAATAAAAGGAAACTGATGTAAAGCAAACTTACAGCCTTAGCAGGAGTCTGGAAATATCCTAAGTTAGCACAGGTTTGGTATGTCCACTGTCTCATGTTCTTACTATAGTCAATTGTAGTGTTAGCAGTGAATTCAGCGGTGTAAGTTTCGAGATTCATTCCTCCTTGCTTAGCAAAGTTAACCAAGTATTCAATGATTTGGTCCATATCATCTTCTACAGCCATCAGTCCATTACAGAAGTCAGTTCTTCCACCATATTGAGCTGGTCCAGCAACAAGATCTCCAATAAAATAGTAGAACTCTCCGTCAACCATGTCTTTGTCGTATCCAAAAGTCTTGAAAGCTTCAATCCTGTTATCAGAGTTCACAATACTTTCAATGTATTTATGAGCTTTGATGAACCTCTCTGGGCATTCAGATCCACTCTTGGAAGTAGAGAAGAAGACTTGTTCATCATATTCATGATAATCAGCTATAGCCTTAACGACACCTGATGATGAGAGAGAAGCAAATGCAACATGTGGATACTTGTATCTGAACCAAGCGGATAAAGCCCCTGGGTAACTTCCTCCTACACAGATCCATCTTCTATGTGGGATGCCATGTTTTTCACTGAACTCTCTAGACTTCTCAGTAGCGAACTGGGCAAGATCTGCAAGTCCTTGATCTGGAGTTAAAAATCTGAGGTTCTCTGTTGACCAATCTTCGGTTGGCTGAGTCTCTCCATAAAATCTGTGCTCCAAAGCGAGAACTCTTCCGTTAAATTTCTTGGCAAGATTAACTACAAAACTGTTGTCGGCTGGTTGTCTTCAAGTACCTTCACCACAGATGTACAAGAAGAGAGGTCCGGTCTCTGGATCCCAGTATTGATCAATATCGTAGTATCTCTGCTTGAAAGTTCCTTCTTGTTGGGGATTGAAGTGGTCCAATCTCTGGTCGTACCAGAAGACATTAGAGTTTTCTTCCGTTTCGAAAAGTTTGTCATCTTCCATCTGGTTTTTCCACAGCTTAGCTGATGAAAGAGCCAAGAGACAAAGAGCAATAGCAATCAACTTCATATTTATTATAATTTTCAGACTTCATTAGGACTTATAAATAGGGGTTTTGGGGTTTTGGGGTTTTGGGGGTTTTGGGG